AAGCAATTCTAAGCAGCAAAGGCAAGGCAGGAGGCATCACAATCCCTGACTTGAAGTTATACTACAAAGCAACAGTAGTAAAATCAACATGGTACTGGACTCAAAACAGAGCCGAAGATCAATGGAATAGATTAGAAGATACAACCACAACTACAAACACACTCAACCACCTTATCTTTGATAAAGGAGCCAAGCAGGTTCACTGGAAGAATGACAGTCTCTTTAATAAATGGTGCTGGAAAAACTGGCTCTCCATTTGCCAAAAATTAAAGCTTTAACCATGCCTATCACCGTGTACTAAATTAAAATCTAAATGGGTCAAAGAGCTGAATATTAAAACAGAAACACTAAATCTATTGGAAGACAAATTGGGTAGAAACCTTGAAGACATAGGGGTAGGTAGAGAATTCATGAACAGGACTCAAACCACACAGGAAATACTTCCCAGAATCAATAACTGGGACCACTTCTTATTAAAAAGATTCTGCATGTCAAAAGAAATCTCCAGCATAGTGAAAAGAAAACCCACAAACTGGGAAAAGATTTTAGTGAACTCTCTCTCAGACAAGGGACTCTTGTCTAAAACATATAAAGAATTAAAAAAATTCAGACCCCCAAAATTCAAAGATCCAATCCAAAAATGGGCATCTAAGATGAATAGGCACTTCTCAGATGAAGAAATGCAAATGGCAAATAAATACATGAAAAAATGTTCATCATCATTGGTCATTAGAGAAATGCAAATTAAAACCACACTGAGATACCATCTCACTCCTGAAAGAATGGCCAGGATCAAGAAAACTAACAACAACAAATGCTGGAGAGGCTGTGGAGGAAAAGGAACTCTCCTACACTGTTGGTGGGAGTATAGACTGGTATAGCCTCTGTGGAGGTCATTCTGGAGATTTCTCAAAAAGCTGGGATTGGAAGTCCCATTTATTCCAGCTATTCCACTTCTAGGCATATTCCCAGAAAAACTGAAAGCATCATACCACAGTGATATATGTACACCGATGTTTATAGCAGCACAATTTGTAATCGCCAGATCTTGGAAACAGCCCAAGTGTCCATCAACTGAGGAATGGATAAAAAAGTTGTGGTATTTCTGTATAATGGAGTATTATTCAGCTATAAAGAAGGATCACATTGAGATATTTATCAATAAATGGGTGCAGCTTGAGAGCATACTCATAAGTGAAATAAATCAATCTCGCATGTGTGAATACCGAATAGTTTCCCTAATGTTAGTAATGATTCAAATATATAAAAGTATGTGGTAATCCTGATTCCCCATTATGTGGCCTTGAAGCCTTATAAAGTTTTCACTTATTAATTGGAAAGGCTTTTTTCTGGGCTTATTGATATGGAAATATTTGAAGATGTAGTATATGAAGTTATATTCAAATATTTCAAGGAAAAAGACAGACACTATGTTAACTACTAAGTCGGGTTATTTGGTGAACTATTAAGTTGGGTTATTTGGTGGTGAAGCACTAGGTTGCTGAAACAGTCATGCTTTGACCTGTATTGTTATGTTGTTATGTCCTCTTTTATCTCAATCTCTCCCTTAAATCTCTCCATTAAAAAAATTATTTAGTTATTTTTTGTTTTTTTTAATTAAGGGGAAAAAGTTAAAAAATTAGCAGGATATATTATAGTAACTGTTTTTGATTTCCTATTAACTTGTTTTGAAGTCCTGTAATACTCCCACTATCTTGTTTTGACTGATTAGACTCTGTTCCATTCTGTATGATAGTATCAAGTTTGAGGGTATAGGCAACTACTTTGAAGGCAATAAGAGTCACTAAGATGCCCATTCTGGTTTGACTATAATCTCCTTTGGAAGTCCTGTAATGTTTACAATGTTTAAGTTTTATTGGTCTTGTTCTCTACTGTTTTGTTCAACTTTATCATACATAATGAGATAGACAATTCCTTTTAAGGAAACATGAGGCATTATGGTAACCATTGTTGATAACCTTGTACTCTGCTTTTACATCACGTACTATGTCTATCCTTGGTTTTGACTGACAGCTTTGTTTTGCCATATTTGACTTTATTCTCTTCCAAAAAAAAAAGTAATAAGAACTAAGGAGTAATAAAATCCAAAATGTGTAAATTTTGTTGTAAAAAAGAGAGGGAAAAAAAAGTGCACTAAAGGATACAACAGCAAGTGTGTTGAGGGGTGTTAAATAGCTTACCATATTAATGTTTTTGGTTGGATCATTGAACACAACTGTTTGCAGTCTCTCTGTTTGAATGTTCTCTTTGTGTGCTTTGATACTGTGACTTGAGCAACTATCTCTAAGATGATAATGTGTAATCTAGTAACTGGTGATTTCTTAGTGGTTTTATTTATTTATTTTTTTTTGTAGTTCTGTATTACTTGTATCCTTACACTGCTTTGTTTTGTTTGTTTTTTTCTCTTTTTCCTTTTAAATAAAATTTAAAAAAAAAGATCCACCTGGTTGTTGCGACAAGCACAAGAACTGGATATAATTGCTCAGCTATGATTAAGCGGCATGCAATTCTGGATGTGCTAAAGAGGCACCCATCAGAACAGAAGAGGTGCACAAAATCAATCCATGAGGTAAGCTGTGGCCTGGTTGAAAATAGCTTGAAATTTGTTTTCTCTGCCTTTAATTAGAATTTTGAAGAGAATAAAACCAAACAAAATAGTATAGAATAGAGCCGATGAAAACAAACAGTGAACATGATACAGGACTTCATAAGAAGATAATGGAGGCCAGGTATAGTGGCACTTGCCTGTAATGCCAGTAGTCAGGAGGCTGAGATAGGAGGATCTCTGTGAATTTGAGACCAGCCTGGGCTTCAAAGTGAGTGTAAGCCCTGCCCAAACTGCATAGTGAGACCCTGTCGCAAAAAAAGGATAATTGTAAATCAACAATGGCTACCATACCTCTTGTTATATTCAAAGTAGCTGCCTATACCATCAGACATAATAAAATCAAAAACAATAAAATCAAACAAAACAATGGAAGTGATATATGGCTACAAAATGTAATAGGACATTAACACTGGCTAACATCTTTCCTTTTCAGACATTTTCTCCCCTTTTTCTTTTACTATATCTGTTGTACATTTTAGATCCCACTAATTCCTTCAGGTGTCTTTTTTTTTTTTTTTTTTCTGGTACTGGGGATCGAATCACAACCTAGCACTTGCCAAACAGGCACTTCAGCTGTTGAGCCAAATCCCAGGCCTCAGGCCCGAGGGGTTTTGTTTTGTTTTTCTTTTTGAAACCGGGTCTCCCTATGCATTTCAGGCTGACCTTGAGCTCACTCTGTAGCTAGGCTGTTCTCTAACTTGCAACAGTCTGCCTCCCTCAGCCACTGCTGGGATTACAAGAGTGCACCACGATGCCCAACTCCTTCAGAAGTATCTTGTTTCTCCATTAATTTTGAAAGACAGTGGCCAAAGAAGAGCAAAAACAACCCACTTACAACAGCTAAAATAAAATAAAATATTTAAGAATAAATTGAATAAAAATGTGAAAGCTCTGGGCATTGCAAACTTGAATAACTGATAAAAGAAACTGAAGAAGACACCAACAAATGGGAATATATGGAAGACTTAATGTACTACCTACTGAAACACATACTTTCAATACAATCACATAAAAATTACATTATTCACAGAAATAAAAAAGGAACCATAAAATGTGTATATGAAAACTATACAAATGAGCTCCAAAATGCCAAAACAATCTTCAGAAAAAGCAACGTTACAGGCATCAGCACAATTTCTGCTTTTAAAATCTAATAGAGAAACATGGTAATCAAGACACATGGTACTGGCATTGAAAACACATATATTTAACAATGTGGCAGAATAGAGATCTATGAAAATGAAATTAATATATTTACAATAAGTTAAACTTTGATGAAAGTTTCAAGAGTACACTGTGGTGCAAGCCTTGGTGGTGTACACCTGTAATCCCAACAATTGGGAGGCTAAGGGCAGGAGAGTGCTGCAAGTTCAAGACCAGTCTGGGCTCAACACCAACCTGATTACATAGGAAGACCCTGTCCCAAAGACAAAAAGAGAGAGAGACAGAGAGAGAAATTCACTGCACAATGTGGTGGCTATTCTTACTAACAATGTATTAAATTTTTACAAACTGCCTAAAGAACAAACTTTGTTCTTACCATAAAATAAAAATAAATATGTAAACTAATACATAAGTTAATTAGCTTCATTTGGATATTCCACAATGTAAACATATTTCAAATGAACATGCTGTATGTAGTACATATAAACAACTTCTATTTGACAAGTAAATGTCAACATAATATAGAAATGAAAAGTATTATAAAGGATTCTTAGGACTATGCCTGCAAATTCAACAATTTAGATAAAAATAAACAAATTCCTAAAAAAAAATATGGACTTCCAAACACTAAATAGAGACAGATTACCTCAGACAACAAAAAGAATTTAAAAATATACACTTCCACAAAAAACAAAAGACAAAATAAGAAAACAACAACAACAACAACAACAAAACAGTGATATCGCTTCTGTGCTACATGTTATTGATTATTTAAAGAAAAAAATACTAGTTGGTTGATTTTCAGGGACCAAATGGAAACTGTCTCAGTTGTTACAACATAATTTGTAACCGGAAGTTCCTTTGTTTACCAGAGACTATTCTAAATCATGAACCTATGTTGGATACATTTTTAGTGCTAGATCACAGAAAACAGGGAATCAGAAAACATCACTGGATATAATGAACCTTCCCTCTCAGGTTCATTTTTGTTTTGCACTGTACATCTTAAGAACAGAAATAGGGTTCTCCCTTTTATATATGCATGTAAATATTTCCATCACCTCTAAAACTGATTCAACTTCAGTGAGGTACTCTTTAGCCTAAAGGACTTTATCACCATGCCTTGAAAGTACTGCAACAGAAGAGAGAAGGAAATGCTTCCATCTGTCCTGAACCTCAGAAGCTGGAACTTCCTGTGAAGTCTTACCTGCAGCATCGCCTGTGCTGACCCCTGCAGCATCGCCAATGCTGACCCCTGCAGCCGATGCTGCACATCTGAGATGAGGTCTCTCAGTAGCTGGTTGTGCTGGGTCAGCTCCCTCTCAGAGTCTGCCAGGCCATTAAGAATACCTTCCTCCTCTGCCTTCAGTTTTTATACTCGTGTCTCCTCCTCAGAGTCCAGGGTGGCTCTCATTTGCTTAAACGCAGTCTGGACACTTTCTATCTCCCCCTGTATTTGATTCTTCAGGGATGAAAAAGAGAGGTACTCTGTCACATGAGGTTGCAAGCCAGCAAAATAACACTTTTTTACTGGAAAGTTTTCAGGGGAAATGAGGTAGGAGGGAGAAGCTCTTCTTTCATTTATTTATTATATTTTTTGTACCAGGAATCAAACTCAGGTCCTTGATTTGCCAGGCAAGTGCTACGCCACTAAGCTATACCCTCAACCCAGGAGAAGTTCTTAGAGAAATGTAGGTTTCATGTGATTTTTCCTTCATACCAGAAAATAAGTCAGTATTATCAAGGTTCACCCTGCCCCCAAACGGGACACCTATACCTTGCAGCTGATCAGGACCCACAATCCCCTGCTTTACTTCTCATCTCACTAATGTACTCCCTCCCACAATTTGAATACAGATACTCAAGCATGCATGACCCATTGTTAAATATCACTTTCAAAAATCACCATGGTTATATAGAATGATGTTCACTAGCCATTTCTCCTGAACCCCTCAGTGTGATAACCTCCCTCAAAATAACCATATGCATTAGTGAGGGTCACTCTGCAGACCATATTTTCTGTTTCTTTCTTTCTTTTTTTTGTGTCTTTTTGAGGCAGGGTTCACTATATAGTTCAGGCTAGCCTTCAGCTCATTTTATAGCCCAAGCTGGTCTGAATTTGCAACAATCTGCCTGCCTCAGCCTCCAGAGTGCTGAGATTATAGGAGTGCGCCACCACACCCAGCTCAATCAAGACCATACTTCCAAAAGAAAAGCACACACAGGACCCATCAAATAACTTCTGGACTCAACAAGTGCCAGAGTATAAAGAAGGAGGGATCTCTTCCCTAAGATCCTATCAGATTTCTGGCTACCAGCCTTAGGAAGTATATTCTCATGCCTTCCAGGAAGTTCTTTCTTTTTCAATGTGAGCTTTCAACCTTGCAAAATCTTCCTCCAACTCCATCAGCTTCTCCAGTACTTCATGGAACATCTCCTGTGAGAGAGGAATCATGCCAGAGTTAAGCCACGAATGTCTTAACAGCTAGAGAATGGATAAATGTACAAGAAATCTGGTTGATCTATCCATCTAGGAAATTTTTTGTTAACTGAAACTAGATGCTACCTCAAGGAAAGAACCTGTATCTGAGCCCATTTCATTCATTCTTCTGCTGAAATAGGTGGGAATCAGAGCTTGTCTTGGGTACCAAACCTCCACCCATCTAGTAAAGGTTAGAAGAATTTCTGCTTTGGTCTAGCATCTTTTTTTGTTTTTGTCTTTTTCCCTTTTATCAGTACCTGGGATCGAACTCACAACTGCCTGCTTGCAAGGCAGGTCCCTATGCCGCTGAGCTAAATCCCCAGCCCCGTGGTCTAGCATCTTTTACTCTAGGCTTATTCTCCTTCAATGAACTGGAGCCTAGAAATACATATGTTGGGTACAGAAGATAAAAAATTAACACAAATCACAGACCTCAGTCCTATGGTGGCAAACTAATTAGACTACAGTGCAAAGTGAACGTTTCCTCCCAGATATTATTTGCTAATCTGTCATCCCACAACCCTGATCTCTCACCTGATACTCCTGTGAAGCCTCCTGCATGAGAACCACTTTGTGACCATGATGTTCCTGAGAACGCTCACAAAGCCAGCAAATGACCTTTCTGTCCTCCTTACAGAACAGCAGGAGTTTCTCCCCATGGAGGTCACAGTGATCTGCCTTTGGGCTCAGTGTCAACTCCCTGAGCCTCTCCACTATGTTGGCTATATGGCGAATGGGCCTCAGGTTTTCAAACTGGTAAGGGACTCGGCACACAGGGCAGTGGCTCACTCCTTGTTCATGTTCCATGGACTTGTAGATTGAAGTGATGCATGGTTTACAGAAAGTGTGGCCACAGTCAGTGCTCACAGGTTCTGTCATGAGATTCAGGCAGATGGGGCAGGTCACCTCCTCCTTGATATTCTCCAGGATGGATGAAGCCATGGATACTCGTTCTCTGCACCTGTCTGTCCTGACTCTGGATTCAGAAGTTGGAAAAATTAAAATGGGACAGAGTAAGAAAGGTAGCAATAGAATGAATACAGAATAAGCAAAAATCACATAGGCACCAAGTCCAAAATATTAAAACCCAAAAAAGGAAAAGGAGTTCACTGACATCATACTAATTATGTCATAATAATTTCAGGCACTTTACTCTCAGTTCGTATCATAAGATCAAATTTATATAGAGTGATTTTAATTTTCCCTTTGTGTATTGCACAGAAAGATAAATGTATTCTTTTTCTACCAAAATTATTTCATTGTTTCACTTTTCTTTCCCCCACCAAAATCACAGCCTTCAAGTTAAAAAACCACCAAACTTCTTATATCACAGGACACCTTTGACTCCTCTGCTATCATTATGCTCCCATTCTAATACATCCTGTACCAGTTACCTTCTGAAACAGAGCTGCTCTAACCCTCTCATCTAAAGTTTCACTGTTTGCTATTCATATTAAGTTCTGTATTTTTAATAAGATAAAATAAAATTAACCCTTTTATTAGATGTATAATCAGAATTATAAATAACTTCTAAAGACAATATGGTGGTAACTTGGTTTATGAACCCAATTTTTTTCTATGATGCTGATAGCAAACTGAGCTTGAAGAGAAAAGAATCAAACTCAATTCTCAGACTCAACATTGACCTTATGGGAAACTCTAATTTGGTTCTCAAACAGTTTAGTGTGCAACCTGAAGTGTGTAGAAAATTGAGTTTGTGAACCCAGATATCCCCATATATTTTCAATCTTTCAGATGAAATTAATCCATTTAATACTCCTTCAGAAGTCTCTCCTCTAACACACAGAATAAAAAGAATAGAGGTAACTACATAGGCATAAAAGCACTCAGAATCATGTGGATGCAACCATGCTTGAGTACTAGTTGGTTTGGCAGAATCATGACTGTAATGATAGGATTTTATCTTGGCTCTGAAGTTTAACAAGGACATGCAAAGGAGCCCAAAGGTATGTGTGCATAAGTACTCTAGGGAGTGATTTGACATAAATATACTTGCAGAATCCTATGTGTCAGAGTCTTGACAACAAAATCCCAGAGAAACTGGATGTTGGTATTTTATAGAAATCTCCAAATATCTGATGTGATGATCTGGCAAATCATTATTAATGATGGGTAATGTCTTAGTAGCTTCATTGAAATCTAAAATGAAAGTTGATGCCAAACAGAGGCCAAACATGGTATAAAGCACTGTTACAGACTTGACTTTCAACTTGAAAGTCTTATGAACTCACTAATCTGAAAGATAAAATGTGACAAATCGTGCTACAAAAATATACCTGTAGTTATAAAATCAAATGATGGGACAAAGTTGTTGTCCTAGAATTCCAACCTAAATATACAACGTTTCAACTGAAACCTAAAGGAGCAGGACACAGAGGTTAAGAAAAGATAAACGTGTTAGGGAGAAGAAATGACATATATAAATGTCCTGCTGATAGAGAATCTTGAATGATTTTGAAAAAGCCAGTTTGGTTACTCTGCAAAGAACTGCCAGGTTTGAGGGATCAGATATGCCCACAGGGAAGAGAACATGTGTCCCCTCTCAGGAGTGGAAGCACTTAAGATTTCTTCCTTGAGAATAAAGGGAAATTTGTCAGTTACCTTGCCAAGTATGGTACATTCCAGGGAATTAGTGATGTGTGCGGCCAGGTGCAAACACACTGTTACTATGAAAAGCTGCTAGTATCACCTTGCAAAGAAAACAGCCCCAGGGCTCTGACCCTCCAGCTCCAAGAAACAAATATTTGCCCTGGATATCAGGATCCAGGCACTCTTAGCCAAGGTGAGATCCCAAGTACAGGCTAAAAAGCAGGACTGGGTGGTGGGTGGCTCTCAGGTTGCAGAAGACGCATCCCTCAGGGAGAGGGAGCTTTCCCTGCCCTTAGCCCTTGCTCCTCCCAGGCCTCCGAATCCGTGCAGCAGGAAGCCTGCAAACTCGTCCTTTCCCCTCCCCCAGAAAGGCTTCAAAACAAGAAAGGAAACGCACCCAGCAAATGCAGCTTTTTCTTGTAAAGTTTGTAGGTCTCTGTCCACCGCGAACTGCTCAGAAAAGGTTTGGAGGCCTCAAGAGAAGTTGTGAGTCCCTGCAGAGAAAGACACAAGTCTTCTGAGAAGTTCCTGATATACTCACAAAGGGAGTGGCGAGGCGAGAAATGAAAGTAACAGTTGGGCGTGATGGAGGCTCAGAGCCAATGGAAGGCCCCTGTGTCTTAGCTGTGCTCCCCGGGGTGATACTGGAAGAGCCCTTGCCTCAGACTGAGGCTCTGCCCCATTCTATTTCCTGGTTTCTACCTACTATGTCCAGGGTTCTGTTTCAATTACTGTAGCTTTCAGATGTGTTTGGTACGTATTATATTAGGATATCATCCTTTTTTAATATGTTTTGCTCTGCGACTATTTTGTTATCCAGATATGATTTTGAAAATTGTAACTATTAGAATGTTTTGTGCAAATTAGCATTTTGAAATTTTTTTATGACTACGGTTTTTAGTGAATTATGATTACATTCTGGCGAGTTGGTTCCTGTAAGCACAGTAATTTTTTTTTCTTTCTTTCTCCTTCCCTTTTCTCCCGTCCTCCACAAAACAGCGCTGCACAGTGACTTTGTCATAAACGCATTTATCTTGCTGTGTGTCCCAGCGCCCACTCCCTGTCTCCTCCTCTCTTCCACCTCCCTAGTGGCCCCTTCTGACTCCTTTTCTTTTTCCCAAAGGTCTCAGAAATTACCTTGTTAATTTATCTGCCGTAATTCATATGAACCCTGCAAAGTATTAAAAATTAGAAGAGGTGACCCTTAATGGAATTCCTGCCACGGGCTGCTCTTGCTGCTGATCTGTTTAGCTGAGTTTTGCTTTTGGGTGGCAGATACTATTCTATATAGCTAAGATATTTAGAAATATTGTGGGCAGTTAGACAAGGGAGGGCCCTTCACCGGTCAGTGCAGAAGACAACTGTGGCTGGAGTCCCATTCACTGAGTGCCAGGCTTCAGGAATAAGTCAAAGGACTGTTATTCACATACTTTTCCTAGGGATTAACAGCAGGTAAATAGGTACCAATCACTTTGGACAGAGAACCAATTTGGCCTTACCCCACCTTGTAGGAGACAATATGAGTGACTCCCCTTGCATGCAGAACATTTGCTGCAATACCGATTATATTGGGACTTATTTTCATATACTGATATGTAAAGAGTTGACTATTTCTTTCTCTCTTCAATTGGCTCTAACCACTGCAAATAAACCTAAGAGAGGTATTGATATATAATCCCTAAAGCCGTCACACAGTTTTAGGTTTCCTGGCATAGTACACTTTGTAAAAGAGGAGCCAAATGGGATTGTAGAGCCATCATCAGCTCTAGGAATGTCAGCTGGGTAGGAGCCTCAAAGCCAGAGGCTATCACTCCTCAGGGCACAAAATTTACAGATCAGAAATAGAAGCAACAGCTTCCTTATAAACCATTCAAATGTTATCTTAATTGTATTATGCAGATTGATCCCTCTCCAAGTCATTCTCCCTGACTTTTACAAAGTGCCTACCCACCTAGCCAGCTCAAGTTACTCATTCAGTTCAGGCAGTCCTCACTATCTCTCATCCTGGAGCCCCATCCCCTTCTTCCTAAGACAATAAATTCAGAGAGAGGCCTTGGATCAAAGCCTTTGTCCACATATCCTCATGGGGATTAGATTTAGGACCCCTTGGCTGCATTTAACTTTGATTATGTCCTGGTGTCTTTACTCTTCCGATGGGCAGCATTGCAGGTGGTAGATCAGAATTAACTGCCCAGATTCCAATAATGTTTCAATGGGATTATAAAGAAAGCTTTTTGGATTGTGAGGAAGACTGAGACAGGGATTACAATCCTTGGATAACAATACTCAGTATGTGGGATTACGATATTTAGCACACAACATGGCAAGAACACATGATCTTCATAGCACAAGCATGGATCATCAATGTACTGGACCTTGTGTGATAAATTTTAAGGTAAGTAGAGCATTTTCCTAATTATATTTGATAGGGTTATTTCCAAAAGTTATGAAGTATAAAACAAAAGAGGCCTTTATTCTGAGAACACGGAGCGAGATAACCGACCCCCCCCCCCCCCGCCAGCACTGGAGTCCGGCTTTCTCTCTGGTGGACACGTGACATGGGGGGTATATAAGTAGCCTAAGCTTAGGGTAGTGCCCTAGGGCCATTAGAGATGCCCAGGTATCTCATTGGCACACGTTTGGCGCCAGGGGCAGATTCCTAAGGGTGGGGGGAGATAGAGTCACAGGTAAATCTCTAGGGGTGGGGGAGGTTCCCACTGAGGCTTTCCTGGCTACAGTGTCCAGCCTGGGCCAAAACCCTTTCAATATTATTCAGATGAAACTAGTAACTATAATCTAAGGGTCATGGGTATTTAACTGTGGTCCAGAAATATTCATTATGTGCGGAAGAAAAAAAGCTTCAGTCTATTGATTATAAAGATATTAAAAGATGCAAACATCGCTGTGTCAACTAAAAGTTTTTAAACTGCTCCAACAAATACCTCTGTTTTACCCTTCCTTCCCAAAAGCCTGTACACTTGATAGGAAACTTTGGGATAAACTAGATAAAACCCTTCTGAAAGACACAAAAAATAAAAATGAACAACTCTAACCTGAAACTGTAGCTTCCTTTCCTTTAGGAAAAATAGCCCTCAGGTCCTTACAAATTAACTTGAAAAAAGACAGTGACCACCATCAAAGTTACATTACAAAAGACAACATAGTGGCTAGTTGAAGTAGAAAAGAGCCCTGAAGTGGTGGTAGCAAACAATTCAGAGTACCATAGTAATTCGCCTCCAATAAGTTGATAGAGATAAAGGGTGCATATTTAAAAATGCAGGTAATCAAATGAGTTCACTGTTGCAAAATATTCACAAAGAAATACAAAATCTTTCCAGTGTCTTAAATACTGGGCTTCACTTGTGACACCTAACTCAGAAGCCCCTAGTGTGGTTGGTACAGCCCTCCCTCTCCCATACTACAGACTGATCACAGCACACCTCCCACTTCCTCACTCACAAAAACACTCAGGTACCTGCCATGGTCTATCCTCAGGCTACGTGTTTCCCAGTAACTGACGAAATTAATCTGGATAATCCCACAAGAAAACATGACACACAGAACTGCTTTTAATTTCCTACTCCTCAAAGAACTCAGACAGATTGTCCTACATAAAGGGGTTCAGGGTTTTGAAACTTTGGGTTGTTAGACAATAAACTTCAAGGTTTTCAAATGGTGCCAAATGATGTTACAGTAAGGACACTGATTTCAGAGCAAGCACAAAATAAGACAGTAGAGATGCAAACATTCAGACCACAACACAAGCAATGCTGTCTGGTGTGGGACAAGTCGCTGACTTAAAAGTTCAAGTCCATATCCCACTTTTTCTTTCATACAGTGTAAACAACTTTGATGTCATACATGGATTTCTGTCCCAGAAGATGGTTGACCTAAAAAATAGTTCCTTTACTCAAAATTTAGTTACAGAAACTTACACACAGTTTGTAGCTAGACTACAGAAGCAACACATAGACAGGTGTCTATCCTTCGTTAGCATATGACAATGCTAACGAAGACTGCAAAAGCGCCTTAGCATCAGTCCTTCAAACTAGAGATTTACCATGTGTATTCCAACATGCCAAAATACTGGATCCACCACCCATGCTTATGTACTCATAACACAGTCTATATCCCAACATCTTACTGATAGGTTAAATGTGATTCAGTGCTTTAATTGAGGCAAAGGAGACCATGCTAGCCCTATGCAGCATCTCTAAAGGCCCCAGTTCCTTTATGTAGGCTGTGCCTAGACTGTGTCCATGCTGTATGAAAGGGTTTCACTGGAAGAAACATTGTAAATCTAAATTTCATAAGTGAAAGGTTCTTGAATGAATGACTGTAAAATCATGGCGGTGGTCTAAAGTGGTGGAAGACTAAAGTGGGAATGCTTACCACTTCTGCTGCTTCTTCAGCCCTAATTGCAACTCTCCTTCCTGATTGCATGCACAGAGAATTCCAATTGGTTCCTCATGTGTCATCAATGCCCCCTTCATGAGCCACTTCTGATCAGAAGTCCTATAACCCTCTGCCTCTCTGTATCTGGTCGAAGGAGACAGCCCTGTCACCACGGTACCAGAATACTCTTAACAATAAGAACGGCACACTCTTAAATCGTGACCAAAGAAAGTACCTCAATAAGAATGAGACCCCTCAGCCTATACTCCAGTAATTAATAACCAGTTAAGCCAGTTTTATCCAGCCTAGCAACAATCTGTCTGTGTCCCCTGTTTCCCTGGCCCCTGCATCCAATCACAGTACTCAATTAGATTTTCCTGGGACTCCTTACACTAAGAATAAAAAAAAATACAATTTTGATTCCCACTGAAATTACCATTCTTGCCCTTAACTCTGCACATTAACCTGTTAAAAATGAGCCTTTAAGCAACAAAGTCGATTTTTTTCCTAGAGTATTTCACTTCATACAAACACAAATTAAATGACACAGCTCTTAATGGACTGGTGGATATGAACACTGATGTCACTGTAAGAAGCAACCAGTCATGGATCCCTACTTGGTGGTTTAGGCCCGCCTCCGGAGCTTTGATAGGTTCAGGCTTCCCTCAATTACTGCCACTACCTTATGTCAGCCATGATAGGCATAGTAACGTCACTTGTTGGCCCTAGGTTAACCAATATAAAGCTGAAGTTAGGTTTATGATAAAAGCCATTGGTACTTCTGTGCAAAAGAGATTGGAGATCTTATTTACATCATTAAAACAACAACAACAAGGTGATAAAACTCAAGCCCACACTATTTTTCCCCATATGAAAAGTTATTTTTAATTCATTCAAGAGCACTTCATCCAGACGTTCTGATTACATTAGTTGAGTGAACTGGCACCAAAGTAAAATCGGTCGAAGGGAATTGATGTACCTACATTGCACAACACATTTTCTTTTTTTTTTTTTTTTTTTTTTTTTTATTTATTTAAGAGGAAAAAGAGAAAAACACAAAACAAACCAAAGCGGCGTAAGGGTACATGCAATACAGAACTACAAAACAAAAAAACAAAACAAAACAAAAAAACATAACAGT